AAGAATTGAAGACATGGGAGTAGTAGAAGTGTATGGGTGTAGAGAATGGGGAGGTTTCTAAGGCTAAACCCTTGTTAGCTCATATAATAAGCCTCTTTCCCATTTGCCCTTGCACTTTCTTGAATTCCATCTTTACCCTTTATTCTTTACACATCCACCCCCGCTCCAATGCATTCTCTTTGAAATTTCCTTGCATTTCACTCCCCACTTTTCCTGCTACTTAGGGTAGAATAGTAACTTCACCCTATGAAAAATTCTCTAGAAACTTCACTAGAAAAATCAGCCACTCTTCTCCCCGGCGAAAAAATACAGAGCCTATGTTGCCGCGCAAAGCTTTTTCTTCGCCCCGGCGAAGTCTGCACTTCCCTATTCTCCAAGGCTTCAGCAAATTCAGGGCATCCAAGCAACTTTAACACCTTCCAAACTTACCTAGGGGCAACCATAAAATAATAACAACATAGCCATTTAACTTAGGGCCACAAATAATACCAAGGCAAAAATACCATACAAAACTACTTACCTCAAGTGGGCGTTACAGTTATTGAACTGTCATGATTTTAGTTCAAGTTCTGCTAATCCTTGCAAGTTATTGAACTATCAAGGATCTGTCAAGAGGTCCTTGATAATTCAAAAACTGTCATGACCCTTTCTTGACAGGCTACAATGACAGTTCAGAAACTGTCATTGTACCCCCTTCTTGACGAGGAACCCTTTCAAGAAGCCTTTTTCCTTGTAGTGTCTTTTGGGAACGTACTCTACTTATCACTTTATTACTTCTTGCGACTAGTGCACTTGGTGAATATGCATGAATTAATGATGCTTCAAATTTTGGTGCCATTGCTGAGGATAGGTTATTATTATGTTGACAGAATCTAGTGTGGTGCTAAATTGAAGCTTTATTTATTTTTATAGTTATTGTAAATATTGTATAGTCTTAGCTTGAGTTCTTTTGTTTTAGTTTTTATTTTTATTTTGTAGTTAAGCTTAAATTTGTGAATACTTAAGTTTAAACTTTGGGAATACTAGTCTAAACTTTTTCTGTAGTGCATTTGGAGGTCATAGTAGAAGTACATAGATGTTGAGGGATTATTCATACCAACAGTGCAAGGAGATATTTTGGTATTACAAGGCCACTGTTGCAACAAACAACTTTCAGATTAAGCCAACAATAATTCAGATGATCCAACTGTTAGAGTAGATTCCCTAGAGCCATCATTATTGTAAATTGACTCTTTGTAATATGTTCATTAATCAATAAAGACATTTTATTCTATATCGCGTAATCATTATTATTGCAATATGATTGATATATGTCCTTAGAATGGTAGACCGTGACGAGGGTATCAAGTGTTTCAATCTTGATAGTGAGAACCTATGACACATATGATGGCCATTCTAGAAACATCCGTAGCCCCAGTATTATTCTAGTAAGGCACAGATAATACGGTGGCTATCTAGTGTTGAACGACTCTGTCGAAAGGCAGTGATTGATCTCACTTGTTAAGGTTGTTTGGTGACAACTTGGTGCAACACATGGTGCTTGTGTAGGCGATTACACCGCAACAGTTCACTGGACTGACCCACCAGAGGATTCCATATGGATGGTAACCCCATGTCTATGGAACAAATCCTACTAGATAGGTGGGTGCATGTGATCCTTATACTTGAGATCACCGGATTGCTTTGGCACCATTGGTGCAGTTTGACACTAGCCTAACGCAGTTCTTTCAAGCTTTCAATACGTGGTGATTGGCTGCATCAAGAGTGTATCAAGACTATGGTGGATTGACAGAGGATTCGTCACTCCCGGGTATGGGAGAAGTTATCTCGCGGCGCAATTCATTAGATGGCAATGACGTTAAAACGTGGCCATAGTGGGATTGAGTTGTTGCTCTATCCATTTTATCATATAGGTCATTGGGTCCAGAAACTGAATACTAATATCGAGAGTAACCGAGTTGACACATTTCTATGCCTTCGTCTCGTCGAGATAACATATGATGAAAGGATCGAATTGCACGGAACCTATCGTTGACAGGTAGCTACTTGCTGAATCGAATCTATTGTGTAGCCATGATGCCTTCTAGGGCCAATCTGTCGGTGTTAGTGAGACGATTAATTGGTGTTAATCGCGACACTATACACTACCGATATGATGAGGAGCCTATGGGTCACACACATAGAAGACATTTAGATCCAAGAAGAAAGAAGGGCGTTTCCTCTTTCAGGCGAAAGGGTATTTTGGTAATTTCACAGTTGTTAGGAAACGACCGGTTGCGCAGCGGAAAACATAAATTTTATACAACCGTAGATCGTTCCTTAAAGCCCAAAATCTGGGCACAATTTTACAGTTTATGTTATATCAAGAATCTACAGAAAAATAAACTAATCTAAAGTTTAGATTCATACCACGTTAGAGGCTCCACAATATATCCTCTGAACGTGTTTGCTACCGATCCAAGTGAGGATCGAACCAAGAAGTTCACACGAAGACAACCCAAGAACCAAGAGGGATTTGCTAGATCCTCCTTGCCTTAAGAAATCAGAAGAAAAAATATTCGATTTTATCAAATATGAAGGGGCGTGGAAGTGTATGGGGTGTGTGTTTTCTTTTCTTTATCAAAAAGGCAAAATGAATTAATTAAAAAAACCACAAAAACTTTCTTTTTATAGGCAAACCAAGTTGCCCTATTCCCACATGGATGGGCTTGGGCTCCAACCCAAACAGCCCATGTTGCCAACACTCCCAATTAGATATTTTTAATTTAATTCATTATTATCTCAATTAAAATCAATTAATATTTAATTACATTTAACAATAATGATGTTCAATTAAATATGTGCAAACACACTTTAACCGTATTTCACTTATTTAACTTTTTCTAACAAATAAATAAAGGCTATGACCTCGCAAATTTAATTGCACTGTGAAATTACAAAAATACCCTTTCCCTAAAAAGACAAAACGCCTTTCTTTCTTCTTGGCTCTTAAATTATCTTCTATGTGTGTGACCCATAGGCTCCTCATCATACCGGCAGTGTATAGTATCGCGTAACACCAATTATCGTCTTACTAATACACAGACCAAGATGGCCCCTAGCAAGGCATATGGCCACCCGATAGATTCGGATTCAGCAAAGTAGCTACCTGTCAACGTATGGTTACCTACATATGATCCTTTCACATTCGTTATCTCGACGAAGGCATAGATAGTGCCAACCTCCGGTTACTCTCGTTATAATGTGTTCAGTTTCTAGACCAATGACCTTTATTATAATCCAGATAGAGCAACAACTCAATCCCACTGTGGCCACAGTTTAGTGTCATCGCCATATACTGAATTGCGCCGTGAGATAACTTCTCCGTACTCGGGAGTGATGAATCCTCTGTCAATCCACCATAGTCTTGATACACTCTCGATGCCGCATCCCACCGTATTGACAGCTCTGAAAAGACTGCGTTAGGCTAGTGCAAACTGCACCAATCGTTGCACAAGCCGCTCCGGTGATCTCAAGTCTAATATGACATGCACCACCATTCGTTAGAGGATTTGTTCCATAGACATTGGGTTTACCATCCATATGAATCCTCTGGTGGTCAGTCCAGTGAACTTGCTGCGGTATAATCGCCTACAGCAAACACCCATGTGTTGCACCAGGTTGTCACCAAACAACCTGACAAGTGAGATCAGTCACTGCCTTCCGACGGGTCGTTCACCACTATGATACCCTTACCGTATTATCTGTGCCCTTACTTCGAATAATATTGGGGCTACGGACTTTCTAGAATGGCCACCATATTTGCTCATAGGTTCTCACTATCAAGATTGCAAACACTTGATACCCTCGTCACGGTTCTACCATTCTAAGGACATATATCAATACATATTGCAATAATAATGATTTACACGATATAGAATAAAAGCCTTTTATTATTGATTAATGAACATTATTACAAAAGTCAATTCTACAATAATTGATTGGCTCTAGGGCATCTACTCTAACACACAGTGCAATTAATTTGCTGAGGTCGATAACCTTTATTTAATTTGTTAGAAAAATTAATAAGGGAAATTACGTTTAAATGTGTGTTCGCACATATTTAAATATATATTATCATTACTGTTAAATGTTAATATATATCTATATATATATATATATATAGTATTATATATAATATAAATTTAAATATATATTATTAATTTTAATTGCGATAATGATGGAAAATAAAATATTAAATTGGGAGTGTTTGGCAACATGGGGCGTTTGGGTTGGAGCCCAAGCCTATTCCGTATGGGATTAGGGCAAATCGATTAACTATAAAAAGAAAAGTGTGTGTGTTAATTAAAAAATTAATTAATTTTTCTTTGAAATTAAAACAGAGCAGCCCCTTTGAAAACACTCCCACGGCAGAAGCACTTTTGCTTAGAAATCAAATCAATTTGATTTGCTTTCTTCTTAATCTTGAAGCCAAAGAGGATCTAGCAAATCCTTCTTTGGTTCTTTTGAGATTGTCTTCGTGTGGACTACGTGGGTTCGATCCTACACTTGGATCGGTAGCAAAACATTCGTTGACAAATTTGGAGGAGCCTCCAACGTGCGTTTGTTTTCTTTAAACTCAGATTTATTTTTCTGCAGATTTTATTTTAATATGAATTGTAAAATTATACCCTTGATCTTGGCTCATGTAAACTTTCCCTGAATTATATTTTTGTTTCCGCTGCGTATATGGGACAGTTTACTAACACCAACAGTCAGTCCAATTTGGTTGAAATTCATATGAGGATCTGAATTTGCATATCGCTAGCTTTCTAGAAATGTGTGAAACGTTTAAGGCAAATAGAGTGACCAATGATGCAATTAGGCTGAGATTGTTCTCATTTTCACTGAGAGATAAGGCAAAAGGTTGGCTCATGTCACATCCAGCTGCAACAATCACCACATGGGACAGATTAGCTTAAAAGTTTCTTGAAACATACTTCCCACCAGTGAAGGCGGCCAAAATAAGAAACAACATTACCTCTTTCGTGCAAGGTAACGATGAATTACTATATGAAGCTTGGGAGAGGTACAAAGAGTTGTTGAGGAAATGTCCACATCATGGTTACCGGTTTGGATACAAGTCCAAACATTCTACAATGGGTTGCTACCAAATATTCAAACTATGGTTGATGTGGCAGTAGGCGGAGAGTTTAATAACAAAACCCCGAAAGATGCTTATGAATTGCTTGAGGTGATGGCCAATAATAACTAAAAAAGACCTAATGAGAGAGTAATGCCGAAGAGAACAATGGGTTTACATGAAGTCGATGCGTTCACCGTATTATTTGAACAAATTGTAGTACTTAAAAAACAATTGGGAGGTATGAATGTAAATTCTATTCACTCACCTATTCTAACTTGTGAATTTTGTGCAGGAAATCATGTGAGTGTGGAATGCCAAGTGGGAAACCCATTCGTCTTCTCAACAATTGAGCAAATGAATTGCATGGCTAGTTCACAAAGGCCACAGCATGACACCTTTTCCAACATATATGATCCAAGATGGACGAACCATTCAATTTTTCTTGGAGCAATCAAGGAGCACCTAGATTGGTAGCTAATTATCAACAACCAGAGAAGAAACCCAACTTGGAGGAAATCTTTGGGAAATTTATGCAAGAGACAACCAATTTCATGAATGAGATGGGAACAAATTTCAGAAACCAAGGAGCATCCATTTGGGACTTGGAAGTTCAACTGAGGCAGATATCTAAGCAAATTTCTAAAACAGTTCAAGTGTCCTTACCAAGCTATATCGTTACCAATTTCAAAGAACAATGTCAATGACATAACATTAAGGAATGACAAAGTTTTGGATAAGTTGCACAAAGAGAGAACGGTGGAGAACAATGAGAGAAAAGAGGATGAGGACATATCTCTCATTTTAGGATGACCATTCCTTGAGACAGGAAAGAGTTTGATTGATGTGCAAGAAAAGCAATTAATTTTGAAGGTGCAAGATGAGAAAGTGACCTTCAATGTTTCCGAAGCTATGAAGTGTACATCTGAGGTAAATTCTTGTTTTTAAATTAATTCTAGGATAACTTGAAGTCTAAGTTTTGCAGGAAGGATAATCTTAAATTACCACTTGAAGCATGCATACCTGAGTCAAAGCTTAATGAAGAGGAAAATCTCAAAGCGAAAGGGTATGCAAGATACTTAGGGGAATTTCCACTTCTGCACTGCAAATATGCAGTTGCACAAAACTAAGTTTCTTATTCAGCATATGCTTCTCTTAGGCTTTCATCAAACATAAGCATGCATCTTAAATTCTACTTTAACTATACTTCTCCTTCTTTCTTCAACCATCCATAATTAGAATAAACTCCCTTGAATCATCACAAATCCTAGCCAAGAATACACCTTCATAATGCTCTTAACTCTCTCCTAAAATCAACCCAACTTCTCTCAACTTCTATCAACTCAACCAACCTTCTCATGTAGAACCCCTTCATGATCATCATCAAACTCAATAACAGTTTTCATACACAATCTCAGCATATGAACTTCATAAAATTCAATAAACAATCTCTATGCTTTACTTGCTCAACAAGGGTTAGGTTGGTTATTACTTACCTTTTTTCTTTAGTAGTTTCAAAAAAGCTCACTATATTTTTGGACGTTGTTCTCTTTCTCAAACCCTAAGCATAACCATAACATTCCATCTAACATAATTAATCCATCTAGAGCAAAATCCTTACCTCTGATGCTTGATCAATCCTGTCAAATTCACAAAACCCTCCAATTTCCTAGCAAAATGGATGAAGATTGAAGACATGGAGAGTAGAAGTGTATGGGTGTAGAGAATGGGGAGGTTTTCTAAGGCTAAACCCTTGTTAGCTCATATAATAAGCCTCTTTCCCTTTGCCCTTGCACTTTCTTGGAATTCCATCTTTACCCTTCATTCTTTACACATCCACCCCCGCTCCAATGCATTCTCTTTGAAATTTCCTTGCATTTCATCCCCACTTTTCCTGCTACTTAGGGTAGAATAGTAACTTCACCCCTATGAAAAATTCTCTAGAAACTTCACTAGAAAATCAGCCGACTCTTCTCCCCGGCGAAAAAAATACGAGCCTTGTTTGCCGCGGCAAAGCTTTTTCTTCGCCCCCGGCGAAGTCTGCACTTCCTAATTCTCCAAGGCTTCAGCAAATTCAGGGCACTCAAGCACTTTAACACCTTCCAACTTACCTAGGGGCACCATAAAATAATAACAACATAGCCATTTAACCTTAGGGCCACAAATAATACCAAGGCAAAAATACCCATACAAAACTACTTAACCTCCAAAGTGGGCGTTACAGTTATGAACTGTCATGAATTTTAGTTCAGTTCTGCTAATCCTTGCAAGTTATTGAACTATCAAGGATCTGTCAAGAGGTCCTTGATAATTCAAAAACTGTCATGACCCTTTCTTGACAGGCTACAATGACATTCAGAAACTGTCATTGTACCCCCTTCTTGACGAGGAACCCTTCAAGAAGCCTTTTTTCCTTGTAGTGTCTTTTTGGGAACGATACTCTACTTATCACTTATTACTTCTTGCGACTAGTGCACTTGGTGAATATGCATGAATTAATGATGCTTTCAAATTTTGGTGCCATTGCTGAGGATAGTTATTATTATGTTGACAGAATCTAGTGTGGTGCTAAATGAAGCTTTTATTTAATTTTTATAGTTAATTGTAAATATTGTATAGTCTTAGCTTGAGTTCTTTTGTTTTAGTTTTTATTTTTATTTTGTATTAGCTTAAATTTGTGAATACTTAAGTTTAAACTTTGGGGAATACTGACGTCTAAACTTTTTCTGTCAGTGCATTTGGAGGTCATAGTAGAAGTACATAGCATGTTGAGGGATTATTCATACAACAGTGCAAGGAGATATTTGTGGTATTACAAGGCCCTGTGCACAACACACTTTCAGATTAAGCCAACAATAATTCAGATGATCCAACTGTTAGAGTAGTATTTGCCCTGAGCCATCATTATTGAATTGACTCTTTGTAATATGTTCATTAATCAATAAACGACATTTTATTCTATATCGCGTAATCATTAGTTATTGCAATGATTGATATATGTCCTTAAATGGTAGACCGTGACGAGGGTATCAAGTGTTTCAATCTTGATGTGAGAACCTATGACACATATGATGGCCATTCTAGAAACATCCGTAGCCCCCAGTATTATTCTGTAAGGCACAGTAATACGGTGAGCTATCTAGTGTTGACGACTCTGTCGAAAGGCAGTGATTGATCTCACTTGTTAAGGTTGTTTGCGTGACAACTTGGTGCAACACATGGGTGCTTGTGTAGGCGATTACACCGCAACACGTTCACTGGACTGACCCACCAGAGGATTCCATAGGATGGTAACCCCATGTCTATGGAACAAATCCTCTAGATAGGTGGTGGTGCATGTGATCCTTATACTGAGATCACCGGAGCTTTGTGGGCACCATTGTGCAGTTTGACACTAGCCTAACGCAGTTCTTTCAAGCTTCAATACGGGTGATTGGCTGCATTCAAAGGTGTATCGACCTATGGTGGATTGACAGAGGATTCGTCACTCCGGTACGGGAGAAGTTATCTCGCGCGCAATTCATTAGATGGCAATGACGTTAAAACGTGGCCATAGTGGGATTGAGTTGTGTGCTCTATCCTTTTATCATATAGGTCATTGGGTCCAAAACGAATACCTAATATCGAGGTAACCGATGTTGACACATTTCTATGCTCGTCTCGTCGAATAACTATGATGAAGGATCGAATTGCACGGCAACCTACGTTGACAGGTAGCTACTTTGCTGAATCCGAATCTTTGTGTAGCCATGATGCCTTTCTATGGGCCAATCTGGTCGGTGTTAGTGAGACGATTAATTGGTGTTAATCGCGACCTATACACTACCTGATATGATGAGGAGGCCTTGGGTCACACACATAGAAGACATTTAAGATCCAGAAGAAGAGGGCGTTTCCTCTTTCTAGGCGAAAGGGTATTTTGGTAATTTCACAGTTTGAAACGAACCGGTTGCGCGCGGAAAACATAAATTTTATACAACCGTAGACTGTTCCTTAAAGCCCAAAATCTGGGCACAATTTTACAGTTTATGTTATATCAAGAATCTACAGAAAAATAAACTAATCTAAAGTTTAGATTCAATACCACGTTAGAGGCTCCACAATTGATCCTCTGAAGTGTTTGCTACCGACCAAGGTGAGGATCGAACCAAGAAGTTCACACGAAGACAACCACCAAGAACCAAGAGGGATTTGCTAGATCCTCCTTGCCTTAAGAAATCAGAAGAAAAAATATTCGATTTTTAATCAAATATTGAAGGGGCGTGGGAAGTGTATGGGGTGTTGTGTTTTCTTTTCTTTATCAAAAAGGCAAAATGATTAATAAAAAACCCACAAAAACTCTTCTTTTTATAGGCAAACCAAGTTGCCCTATTCCCACATGGATGGGCTTGGGCTCCAACCCAAACAGCCCATGTTGCCAACACTCCCAATTAGATATTTTTAATTTAATTCATTATTATCTCAATTAAAATCAATTAATATTTAATTAAACATTTAACAATAATGATGTTCAATTAAATATGTGCAAACACACTTTAACCGTATTTCACTTATTTAATTTTTCTAACAAATAAATAAAGCTATGACCTCGCAAATTTAATTGCACTGTGAAATTACAAAAATACCCTTTCCCTAAAAAGACAAAACGCCTTTCTTTCTTCTTGCTCTAAATATCTTCTATGTGTGTGACCGATAGGCTCCTCATCATACCGGCAGTGTATAGTATCGCGATAACACCAATTAATCGTCTTACAATACACAGACCAAGATGGCCCCTAGCAAGGCATATGGCCACCCGATAGATCGATTCAGCAAGTAGCTACCTGTCAACGATATGGTTACCTACATATGATCCTTTCATCATTCGTTATCTCGACGAAGGCATAGAATAGTGCCAACCCCGGTTACTCTCGTTATATGTGTTCAGTTTCTAGACCAATGACCTTATTATAATCCAGATAGGCAACAACTCAATCCCATGTGGC